GGCAAGGGCCACACTGGCCAGGCGACCACACTGCGCGGGACGTGGAGGACACGGCACCTTCCATGATCCTCTAGAAAGAGTGACTCTCGGGCAGCGATGACCAGGAATGGGGGTCGCGGGGTCCTCACAGTTCTCGTTAATCGATACACTGGTTTCTCAGCTTGCTAATTCGATTGGCGTAACTGAAGGCCTTTATAGAGCAGGCACCTCTGGACGTTTTAACAAAAGAAAACCCAGAGCCAACCAAGCTCAGACCTCGCGTGTGCAGGCTGGTCGAGATGTTGCTGGCCTGTGGGGACCGTCTCTGCGGCCAGCGGCCCCCCAGGCCCCTCCCTCTGCAACATCTCGCCAAACCGTCCCGTGCGCTCAGAGGTCACCGGAGCGCCGGCTGCGGGTGGGAGAAGGAATCTGCGAAGACTCCCTTATACGAAGACAAGAACTCAGTCGCCCATCTTTGAAAAGAGACTGGATGATAACATTATAAAAGGTCTTTGTGAATGGAAAGGGAAGGGTGATTTCCAGGGGTGACACCAGCGTGCGCTCAGGACCCGTGCTGGGCGGAGGTCTGTGTCCGTGTCACGGGGTTTAAGTCAGAGACAAGCTTGAATCCTTCAGGCCATCGCTCGCGTGGCCGGGACTGAGCGACTGTGTCACAAACGACACGAGTCAGGCGGATCCTTGCGTCCCTCTCTCCTGCCTCCTCTCCATCAGTGTCGGCGACCATGACAATAAAAACCAAATGCTGCCTTTTCCTGGGGGGCCGGTGGCACCGCTGAGGGAGGAAGTGAAAACCGGCCAGAAGCGGTTGGGCGACTTCACGCCCTGCTTTCCATACTGGAGCGTCCAGACTCGCGGGACCGGGGCCCCTGCCGCCTGTGGGACGCTCACCACCCTCGTCAAACATGACGATTTGACAATCGCCCTTGTCGCCAAGTACCACTTAGATAGAATTACGAGGCACAGTGGGTAGGGCCAGGCGGCGGCGAGCCCAGGGTCGGCCCGGGCGGGGGAGGAGGGAGGCGCAGCTCGCGGGCACCTGGAGAAACACCTGGGCGGAGATGCCCGCAGCACGCAACACGCAGGCTAGGGGTGGAAAGCGGGTGACTGGTCTCAGGTGTGACCTCTCTTTATAAAAACAGAGAGGAGCCGTTCTTAAAAATTTTCTCCCACATATTTTTCCAAACTATGATCCACATCGTTGAAATATTTCAGTGATGTTATTTAAATCGTCTCTATAAAAAGCTCACGTAGCACTGGAGGGGACATAAGCCTTTCAGCCCCCAAACAGTAGTGGTTTATAAAGATATAAAGTGGCTCTGAAATTACTGTTTAAATATCTGTCCCGAGCTTTGCTTGGCACCTGGAGTGAGAGAAAAACGAAACGGTACCTGTCTGTAGTTGACGCTCCCGTTGGGAAGGCTGAGGAACTCGAGAGCTCTGTGTCCTGAGGGAGGAAACACACCAATCGATCGGGGGCAACTACAAGCGGAAAACAGAACCCCCGACGTCACCTTGAAAGGAAAGCGCAGTTTTATGGTTGCAGCCGAAGGAAGCGGGAAGTGAAAGAAATTAAGTTTGTGCTCGCTCGGCGTTTTCAGGAGCCATAATTAGATCAATACGAGGTTCATATCACACACGTTAATACAAACATAACAACACCGCAGACGAAATCTGCAGGATGGTTCAAAGTCCCTGCCCCACCAGCCCCGTGACCTCGGGGGAGTGAACCGCCTTAGGCCTCAGTTCCCTCCTATGTGAAATTAAATAAACAGCACCCACCTCACAAGTTTGTGAGAGAATCACAGGAAATAAATGCTGGGACGAACACGTGGTAGGAGCTCAGCAGGCAGGTCACCACCACACCGTGGCCACATAATCACCACCACCGCCCTCTCGCCCCGCCCGAGGCAGAGGATCCCCAGCAGGAAACGCCAGCAGGGCCTACACCGTGGCCGAGCCAACGAGCCTCAGGTGGACGCGGCCAATGAGCCTCAGGTGTGTCGTCATTGCCGGGCTACTAGAAGGACAGGGAGAGTCCCAGGGCCACCTGCTGCACCCCCACCAGACACCCACACCTGGAGCCTTCTTACAATCCACAGGAGAAGGAACATCCTTGCGAGGAGGCGCTCGAGGGCGAGACACCTTATTTCTACTGTGAATCACATGCAGTTTTTTAATTCATACAGGAGAACAGCCGCTACTGTGAGCGCCGAGGCCGTGAGAGAGACAGTATAGCAGCCCACGGGGGTCACCTGGACTAGGGCTCCCGGATTTACGGACCCAACCCCCGGATGAGGCCGATTCTAACTCACATCAACCTTCCACACAGACCCGGTGCAAGGGGTGAAACCGGGAGCCAAGACCTTCATAAAACCGTCCAGCTTGGCAAATAAGGGAATTTTAGTTTCCTTTCACACAAAACCCTTCAAAATGCAGATTAGGAGTTGCCTTCAGTTAAGTTCCCACGAACGTGTTTACAGGTGTTGAATCTGTGAACCTGTTTATGTTTTTAATGTGCATCCATCTGTTACGACCTTTGTCTGGCCCCTGCTGCAGGAAGGCAACAACTATCTGATTTTGTTGAAATTTTGGATTTCATCCGTCCCGTTAATCTTTAAACTAAGGATTAGACACTTGAAAACTCCCATTTATATTGGTTCCTCTGTGGCGCACTTCTGCGGTTTTAGCAAGTTCGCTTCATAGAGCTGTAGAGCCCATTAGGGAGCCCAGCTCCCTCGTTTCACAGGGAGGGGCTGAAAAACCGAGTCCCCCGCAGCCGACCGCAGGGCTGGGCCACAGGTCTCGTTCCCTCTTCCACCGTCTCCCGACTCCCTTGTAGCCATAGCCGTTTAACGGAAAGAAAACAGGCGCAGCTGTCAGGACGTGTAATTTCAGGATCAGTCTCCTCACCTGTAACATAAAGGCGCTGGGCGCAGCGACCTCGAGGGTTCCTGCAAATCATAACATTCGGTGCCCCCACAGTTCTTGCCGGCCAGGGCTCTGCCAGGCCTCTCCTAAAATTCCTATTTTAACTGCATGCTTGTTATGCTTTGTACCTTCTGGGGGCGGCATAACTATAAAATGTTACTGTTTTTTATCTAAAGAAGACCCAGGCATTGGGTCCACCTGAAACTAGTGTGAAGACTGCTGTGAACGAAACCATATCTAACTTATTACGAAGCGGCTCGCGTTTCCCACGAGTGAAAACACTGCTAATGGACGTCAGTCGAGAACCACACCCTGGTGCTCCCCTGCCACCGACGCACAGATAACTCTGCCTTCGCCCCTGAGCTCGTGGGCACAGGCTAAGTGCACCCAGTCCTCCAACTCCGGTCATCATTCTGGGCACCTCCAAATCCGAGGACCATGCAACCTCCCTTGTTTCCTTGCCCTCCCTGAAGCGACCCCCTTTAAAGCCACCTGACCCAGGGGACCCACTCCCGTGGCCACACGTGGCCCTTTACATGTATTTGGAAAGCATTCAATTACTCACACCCCAGTATTCCGCCCTTCACGCCTATCTCCCAGAGCCTCTGTCTCCCCAGCTCCTCAATCTACCCCCCCAGAAGCTCTGGGACCCCCTACCTTCCTGCTTCCACGGAGCCCACCCGACAGTCCCCAGGCCTGGGCCACTCCGGGCTGGCCCCCTCCTCTCTGCTTCCGGTTGCGAGCACAGCCAGAAACTAGTTACCAAGACAAGGGGCGGACTTCCAGCCTCCTAACCTTTCTGATAGATTTGGCGTCCTTACCACCATGACCGGTCACAGGCACTTACCTATTTCTATGTGGGTTGAAATGCCGCATGGTGAGCCTCCAGGGCACAGGGCGCCCAGCGCAAGGAGCAGGCCAGACCAGAACCTGCAGACAGACAGGCCGTGGTCGCTCAGTCTCCCTGGTGCTGGAACTGGCCTGCCCAGCTGGGCCCAGACCCTCCGCTTTCCCTGTGAGCACATCACTGACACAGAAATTAAGTCTCATTTCTAGATAATATCGTAGGCCAGTCAGTACAGTTAGCTGTTTACTGTTTAACTTAATAAAACAGCAAACAAACTGCACCTAGGGGACAAGGGCGAACCTGAGCTCCAAGTGCCTCCAGGTGGGAGCACAGCCGTCTTGGGACCCAGGCTCCCTCTGCGTTGCTCTCTAACATGACGTTTGTATGGAGACCCAAGCAAAGCTGCCTCCAAGTATTCTTTGCTTTCTTTAAAAAAAACAGCCTCACCTGTCCGCACTGAGAGTCCCTAGACTGGCCGCCTCACCTTAGGAGGGCCACGGGCCCCTGCATCCTTCCCGCGCCTGTGGCAGCTGCCCTGTTCCTCGGGCGAGCGTCTCCCGCGCTGGGACAGCCCTTAAAGATCAGCTGGAACTGGCTTCTGCTCAGTGTTTGGCAACAGATACTGACACTTGTGTGGGTTACACAAGAGCGGCTAGTCCTGCTCTCTCCCCTGCCGGTTCCCACAGCTCTCCCTCCGCGGCCTGCTGCACGGCCGGATTCCTGCAGCCGGGCCAGGTGCCCGTCCCACTTGGGGTGGGGGCAGGGGACAGATGCAGGACCAAGAAACGAGGGTTCCGGAAACCCTGGGCTCAGACTGTCCCTGTTGTGCACTATCCGGTCTACAGCACTTGGTCTGTGGGGAAAGCCAGGGGAAACTCTTCATGGAAATGGTGACCTTAAAGCAGGTTACACACTAAAAGCAAGAACTGAGATCCTCACAGGGGGAGGGAAGGATGCTGGGCCTCAGGTTAGCCTGATGGGAGAGGAGACTGGGAGACCGGATGATCTGAGACCCTCAGGCATCTGCCAAGTTTCCTCTGTAACCTTAACTCAGCCACCGGCAGAGCCCAGGACTGACGCGGGAACGCAGCCCTGCCTCCACCCTAGGGCGTCAGGCCCAGCTGCTGGGAGGCCAGAGACCACAAGCTGGATGTTTTGTTTGGCAGACAGGGTGTTTTACAAACTGAGGCCAATTTTGTTCAAGTGGAAAATTCACACAAAAATTTAAGTTTCTTTGGGGGAAAAAAAAACAAACCAAATAAACAAGCACTGGCCTCAAACTGAAGACACTCCCCTGTGAAATGAGGGTCAGCTGAAGCCACCCCGAGTCAGTGCACCGAGGGGGCTGCACATGAGCCCACGGGTCCCAGGACAAGCTGCTGGTCATTTTCATGCTCATTACAGATACAGCTTCCCGGCTGCTCCAGAGCTTGGGGCCAAGTCCCACTGTGATCACACTCGGTTGATGATTCTGGCAAATGGTTGGGTGGCTAGTTGGTGACCTACTTTCCCTCTAACAAGTGGCTTGACCTGGGCACCCAGTATGACCTTGAACACTGTCCTGAATTTCATGTGTCAACTGCACTGCTGGTTGTTATCTCACAACAGCCTTGGCTCCATTTCACACGCGGGAAACCTGAGGTTGAGCAACCATCCAAGGGCAGCCCGCCTGTCCACCAGACTCGGAGTTCTGATCGTGATCGGTCTGTCCCCAAAGGCAGTTACATAACAAGGGTGCCCTGCTCAGACGAGGAGAACACTCAGACACCCCCTCCCCCAGAGGCCTATCCAGGCCAACCCCACAGCTCAGAGCTGCAGGGACCAAGGAACGTAATTGCGGTCTTGGCAGCTGGGCTCCCAGGGCGCATCCGTGGACCAAGCACACGTCCCAGGCCTGGAGACGCCGGTCTGGGAGATGGGAGATAGTGGGAGATGGTGGGAGATGGATGGTGGGAGATGGATGGTGGGAGATGGATGGTGGGAGATAGATGGAAGATAGATGGGAGATGGTGGGAGATGGATGATGGGGAGATAGATGGGAGATGATGGGAAATGATGGAGATGGTAGGAGATGGTGGGAGATAGATGGTGGGAGACAGATGGTGGGGGATGGTGGGGGATGGTGGGGATGGT